CAGCTGCATCTGCGCGCCCTTTCACTTCTCACATGTCAACGACCAGGATCCACGGGAGTGAGCATGAAGTTAGCATCTGAGCATAAGTGACAAAGTTGAGAATTTGACGCAAACTTCGGGAAGTGGGTTGTAGGGAGTGTATGCTCGATTATGGGAATTCAAGCGCACTGACATACACTCCACATCCCAGATATGGAGAGGGTGCGGCCGCGCATTCGTTTGAAAGTGGGTGTGGCAGCTCTTTTGGTGGAATATTACCGTTTTGACCCAAATTTCACCATGTCTTTGCCAAGATGACAACTGTCTCAGACAGAAGTTTCTCACAAATAACGCAGCGGGCGCCATGTTCAGATGGAGTGCGCGGCCACGCCTACTCCATCGCTGATATATGGGGTAAACATAGTGCAATGTACTCGGCCTTAGATTTCTGAAGAAAGGCTGAGGAGGTGGATTAGCAACTTGTAGCCGATTGGCTCCTGCAATGCATTTATGGGCTAAATTCGCATTTGGAAAGCTATACTTATTTTTGATCAAAATGCGAGGCGCTTCCAAAACGAATCAATAAATGCCGAGTAATTTATTTCATGTTGTTATAACCAGTACATCGGCTCAAAACACTCATTCAGAACAGTCCTGTAGCAAGAGCGATGGCAAACCCTTCGTGGTTTGACGTGGCCCACAAATGCACTGCGAATGATCCTGAACAGCATGCAATGGAGCAAGCGGCTGCACTTGGCATCGGAAACGCTCGTTCACTAGCTTCTATATTTAGTCTGGTTGGTTTTACGTACACACGATCTTCATCTTTTTTTCGAAAAGGCGTGGATTGGAGCGCAGTTGGTGCAACGTTTCACACCAATTGTTGCGGGCTGTCGATTCAATCATTGGTGGAAAAGGCCACCTTTGCTGCATTCCAACCCACGCCCTCTCATACGCCCTTTCGTTTGCGGGGATAAGGACTCTAGAGTAAGCGCCGTGCGTCATAAGGGCTCCCCGAAAACTGCTCATCTTTGCACTTGCTGACGCTCCAGTACATCGGTGTTTTCAGCTTGTCAATGGGCGCCTAGTAAGCGAAAGAACTCTTGAATATCTTGAAAGGCCGGTGCTGAACGAAACGGACTACATACTGAATGTCAACACGGTTAAAGGACATGGCTTCTTTTACGCTCCTTTGAAGGATTCTGATGTGAGTCGATGAACCTTAGATTTTTGAATATATTGCAATTTTTATTCCATCGCTAGACTAAATATCAAGGCTTCGGTGTTCAGGAGTGCCCAATTGTCCAAAGACACCGTTCAGAATTCCCAAATGGGCGGGGCCAGGGCACAAGGTCATTGACACGCCCATTCTTCCCGCCTCCCAGGACGATGAAGAGGACGGAACGCGTCAATGACGTCGTGCCCTCGTAGCTCCGCCCACCTGGCAATCCCTTACACCGTCTTTAGACCTCACCACTCTTCCGCTGTCCTCTG